GGGGGGGGGAAGGGGTATTTTACAACCTTTGTTTTAAACGTTGAAAACTAAAGCGTAAAAGGGAACACTGGTAACCAGGAAGGACCAGAATAATATTATGTCCCACTTCACTCCCGACATCTTCTTCGTCTTGTCTCCAGCCTCTTCCTCCCTTGTGGCGTTTTCGTCGTTGACATTCAGCCCAACCATAGACGACACTCGGTTCACTAACCGACGCTTAACACGGCTCAGGCGTCTCGGTTTAACCACATGATCTGAACCTGCTTCTTTCTCCAAACTTTCGTCTCGGGGCTTGTCCACGCGGTGACAGTCTTCGATGACGGCTTCGGCAGCGGGGTCGGCGTTCTTGTCCCGCCGTCGTGCCAGCTTTTCCCTTTCGTACACACGCATGACGAACACGTTGGCGGCGATGACTGAGGCGTTCTCTACAATGACGTAGGCCAGGAAGAGCATCATGCGCGGGGTGTTGGTGGCCGTGGACATGTTGCGCGGCATCGCTCCGCTGGTATAAACAGAATGGGAAATTGTGTCAATAAGGTTATACAATATCTACAGCAAGTATGCTTCTGATTTACCGCTCTTTAAAAAAAAAAGGTATATTTAAGTAACGGTGATATAAGTTGTTTCAATTAACAAATAGCGGTACAAGAAAATAAGTTTTTGTAGATTACAACAGTTTTCTTTCGGCACACAGTTTAATTTTTAAGATACTTTAGTCCAGTGATTCTTAACCTTCTAATGCCGCGACCCTTTGATACAGTTTCTCATGATGAGGTGACCCCCCAACCATAAAAATATTTTTTTATCGTTGCTATACTTCATAAATATGTGTTTTCCACTGTCCTTAAGTGCGACCCCTGTGTGAGGGTCGTTCGACCCCCAAAAGGGTCGAGACCCACAGGTTAAGAACCACTGCCTTAGTCTATTATTTTCCTTTAAATGTATCTGATATTTATTATTGTATGGCCTGCTGAATAAGTCATCTCGCCGAAATGGTTCTGTTAATTGGCCTTTTTTTTCAATGCTAAACTAACCAAAAAAAAAAAAAACTTGTACATTATTTAATAACTTCACGAGGCTTGAACGCAGTCCCCCATGTATGACCGTTTAATCCGTCAAAATTTTAATGAAATCCAGTTTAAATTTGACAAATTTATTTCGATAAATTTGTATGTATCGAGCGAAAGCAGAATGGCGCCATGGGATGATATGATATTGTGTGCCGATCCAAAACTTAACGCCGCCAGCCAACATAAGTAAATATCGTTATTTGCACACCTCGGGGTGATCAAGAAAATTCGTAAACTGAATGATGCTAGTTATTTTATTCAAATTTTACTATTTGAAATATTGGGTTTGATTGTGCATTATACTTTTTATCTCCAAAAAAGTAGGCAAGACTACGCACCTGATAAACCCTAGAAACACCGTGGTGGACGATGAGATGGAGACCAGGTAGGAAACCCTTTCACCGGAATCGGGCGGTATCCAAAACACGATCAGCGTCAGCAGAGACGTGCTCACCATGGGCATCAGGACGCAGAGGATGTAGTACAGAGACTCGCGCCTGATGAAGATCGTCAACTCTATGTTAAGTAGAGATGGTGCCTCGAATTTACGCCAGGTAACGTTCAGAAGCTCCCACTCGCCATTGATGCGAACCATTTCCGTGGTGTAGTCGTGCTGCTCTAGGTACGAGACCGCAGCGGTGAGGCCGATGCTGGGGTTGAAGAAAGACACGGAAAAGGTGCACGCCTGCGTGTCCAGCGGGTAGTACTTCACATCGAAATCACAGAACGATTCAACAATGTCCCACATCATGAAGTTGATCATTCCGTCGGACGTGAGTTTCACTGTTTCTGGTACCACAACTTTCCCAGAGTCTGGGTCCGTGCTGCTGGAAAAATACATGTCCACCAGCCAAATCCTGGGTTGGATTAAATGGTGTTTTTTTTTTTTTTTTTTTTTTTTTTTTTTTTTTGAAAATTCAGAATAATAAAATATAGTTTTACAAAAACTCTTTGCGTAAGCTTTTAAAAACAATACGTTGTGACATTTATGTAAGCGATAAGCTTCTTTTTGTTTACCTATGCATGTTTGTGGATAGTTATAATGTATGTTTACGTTTTTTTTAAGCTATGAAAAGATCAGCAGAAAAAAAATAGGATTCCAGCAAACTTAACAATAAAATAGGCTGGTTGTATAATGAATGCATAGAGACTCTCGAAGAAAGGGGCGAAGCTAGAATGACCATGATACATAGGTCAAGGGAAACCAGAAAGACGGAAAGACAAGACAAACATACTGGTAAGCTAGAATCAAAGCCACACAAATGTGTAGGAAGTAAAAGAGGGAATGGGAAAAAGCTTAACTAAAAGAAATATAAGACTTAACAAGAGAGGGAAACATCAGAGGAATGTACATGTAGATAAAAGATGAAAAGAATGGATACCAAGCCAGACTGCAAACGCCAGGATGGAGAACAAATTAAGGAAAATAGTAAAGCACCGAAGAGGTGGGCTGAATATTTAGAGGACATAATAAATGCAGACAATAGACACGATGAAGATTATCAACCACCACGTGGAGGATCAGACCCATTAGTAGGACCCCAACCTCTAGAAGAAACTACAGAAGTAATTAGCTCTATGAAAAACTACAATGACAGAGGAGTGACGAGGATACATCATCAAAACCCCAGAGGAAAATGGCATAAAGGCAGATCCTGGCTTAGATGGATAGATGATAGGGAAAAAGATCTACAGCAGCTGCGATTCCAAGCAAGGAAAAGAAAAGCATTAGTTAGGTCTTAGTGGAAAGAAGTAGTGAGGCAGGCCAAAGCCCTACATGGGGTATAGCGCCACAAGGATGTATGGATGTAAGTTTTAACCCATTCGAAGGCTTCGGTCTTTATACATCACTTTCACCAAAAATATTATCAAGCAATAAGCAACAGATAATAAGTTTCGTTAAGTCGTCCAAAGACAGTAAACAATCAACGTTCTATATCTTCTACAACGGAACGAAGAGTATTTTAAAATACAATCTGCTTTATTGAACACTGAATTTTTACGTGTTGATTTCAACAAAATTTTGCTACGGTTAGTAAGCGACCCGGTGCCGTTTATTTCTTAAGACCACCACGGGACTTACAACGCCTGAGAGAGCCCGGTCCCTGCGTGAAGAAGAAAAAGGGAACTAAGCGTGATAAAGCATTTCTGCATAAAAATATTGGAGCTTACATCTTGCTGGGCATTGAGACACAAGACCAGTTGCCGTAGTCTTCCATATTCCAAGCCAAATCTCGATCCTGCCAAGTGACGTTAAGGACAATAAATGAGGTGATTGTCTGCCTGGCTTCATTTACACCGTGAACCTGTTTTAAACAAGAAATAATTACACATTTCTTGCCTCATGTATTTCTTCATTTGAATATTGTATGAGAACTTGTAAGATTTCTTTCTACATTCAAAATATAATTTTGTGTGGATAAATAAAGTTCTGGAAATAGTGTAAACAGAATAATTAGTAAGGCTTTTTAAGAACGAGTCATTGTGAGCCAAGGGAACATGTAGCTTACTATTCAGAAGGCGAAACAGAAACTGTTGAATCCGTCAACTATAATTCTCAAGTTTATGAAATATGATTTTAACACCAAATTTAGTCGACGACAATGGCACATATCACCCATACGCACACATTTAAATATTTTAAAACTTTAACACCAAGGTCTGCAGCTTTAAAAAAGAATAATAAGTAAAGAACAAAATACTATTACTATGCCATCATTCAGTTGTCTTATAAAACATGTTAAGCTATGAGGGAAGATTTTTTTTCAAATCTATTTTCAACTAACAAGGAAAATGTATTTCTCCCATGACTTGTATTGACGTTTTTTTAGAAAGACTACTCTTACCTAAATGGAGCCCCCAGGAAATGCGTTTAACTTATTCCATGTGGTATGTTACATACGGGAGATAAGAAAATTTTTTACATTGGTTTTTGCCATTCAAACTTATTACACTTAGAAATCCACAAAAATAATAATGCAATTTTACAATCGATCACACTTAATGCCCCCATTTTCCGCATTAAACTATTTCTTTACAAAACATATCTAGCGGCTATCCATGTAGTGATTGATTTATAGAATGCAACAAAACAACACCATTAACTACTAAATACCACCACATGCAACTTACTAACTTCACAGCTAATCCCACGTCAAAGTTCACGGCACGCCCAGGTGGCAGCGGTCCGAGTTTGGTGTTCAAGACTCTCCTTTGGGCCAGGTCGTTGTACAGTTGCACAAGCATCTCCTTATCTTCATTTATGTCTTCGTTGAGACATGAAACTACACCACCACAGCCCCAGAAGGCGAGGCCTACAATTAAAGTATATGCCGTCATGCCTCTTAATTATTTTGGACATTCGCTGTAATTTTCTCTCTCTTTTTTTTTTTTATTTTTTTTTAAATTTTTGAAAACGTTGGTGGTTTTTTGGTTAAAAACACCCACAAAAAACAAACAAAAAAAAAAAAAAAAACCCCAAAAAACCCCAATATGTCACCGATTCACAAATACCTCAATAATTTTTTTAAAGCGTGAAAAAGATTTGCTAAGTTTTAAACTTTAAAAAAAAAAAACGAAAGAGGGATACAAATATATTAGATGTTAGTACAATAAAAAATCATGGCACATTTTTATTTTTTTGGGTGGACTTATGCCTTCAAGAATGATCACAGTTTGGCGCATCAGTAGCTCCGAACCAGCTGTATGCATTTCTTTTCCTTGGCTAATTGAGAATAAAATAACGTGTCTGGCCTATTTCACTGATGGTGTAAACATTCAAACTGTGCTTGATGGTCTCGTCTTCTAGGCTACATTAAAAGGAGCTGTGCCTGGTGTATAATTCAGAGCTACTTTTTTCATCGTCAATCATTGCAGTTTGCCCTGGCTTCGGCAAACACTAACCCTGCGCTAACCCGGACCTGCAAAAAAAGGGGTGATCAAACAGTACACAATAACATTGTTACGTTAATATGAACACAAATTAAACAGTTGTGTATCGATCTGTTTTTACTTGTGGTTTTTTTTTTCCTTCATATTTGTCACATCACTTCGAATTTGTGGATCCACACCATTTCAACGTGTCGCGCGGGACGTGTGTTTGGCACATTCATTGTTTAAGGCTATTAGACAATGATGTTATCGTGAACTGTAATGTTCTTTTCATCTCATTCGCTATACAAATCATAACAATGACGTCACACGTGGTAAAAGTTATCGATTTTAATAATTCTTGTGAAATAAATGAATAATTCATCGCGTTTGGTGACAACGATTCTCTCCATTAAAAGTCGCGAATCATCGCGCCACTTTATGAGTGTATATTTTGTTTAATGTCAAACAGATGTTAATAATTCGAAACAAGTGGTTGGTCTAAACTATAAAGCTTTGACCAAAAAACAAAATTAATTTTGTTGTCTGTTTCTTCCTTCTTATATAACTGTAAAGAAATCTGTCTAGTGGCATAATATACATTGTAAATAGGCGCTACATAATGAGGTGTATATCCAGTGGCGTAGCGAGGGTGTTTGGCGTCCGGGGACAAGATTCGCGCCCGGGGACAAGATCCATTTTTAGCGCCCCTTTTTCTTTTTTTTCAACTCTCAAACCCATTTTTTTCATCAATAAAATAATATCAAAGCACATTTTGGCGCCCCTAACTAGCTGGCGCCCGGGGACATCTGTCCCCCCTCCCCAGCCCCCACCACGCTACGCCTCTGTGTATATCTGTTAGTGGTTTCTCATTTTTGATTGACAAGATTAAAATTTGGAGGCGATCAAACCCATGATAGAATGCCAAATCGGATTTATCAAACCAATGGAAGAATGCCATATCGGAGACATCAAACCGATGGAAGAATGTCTATTCGGGGAGATCAACCCGATTAAAGAATGCCATATCGGGGAGATCAAACCAATGCAAGAATTTCATATTTTATAAATCAAACTTATCAAAAGATTGCTTATAGGGGAATTCAAACCTCTATTTCTAGACTATCAATTTTAGTAAACTTCAAGCCTCAAGCTTTATGCTTAGGAGACACCCATTCCATAAATAAGATAATATTCTTTACTGAGCAAAATAAATGGAATTTTTTTTATTACAGTGCAAAGATTTATTTTCAGCACATACGTAACTACATATTTAACCAAGACAACACTTAAAAATTATAACAAATAAACACAAGAAATCTAAAGTAGATCTCCTAGATTAGATATCATCAGCCATAAATGAACTCACCTAGTGACAATGTTGGTGATTAGTTAGATTTTGGTCTTTGCTGGGGGAGCACGCTGGTAAATTCATACTCAATGGGGAGCAAAATAATTTTTTATAAAATTTTCGGTCCTAACTTTAAGAGAAAGGATTCACCCTGATCGAGTTGATCTTAAGTATCAGTGATGAAGAGGGTGTGGCGTTTGATCCATTTTTGTTATCAGTTCAACAACAGCATTTTTCTTCAAATAATGCTTCGGTGAAGATGTTTAGTTTTTTGTGATACTACTAGCTTTCTGGATTACACTAGTAGAACTATGTTTGATGTTGATGTCAGATGATGAATTCCCACACCCGCAAGTAAAATTGAAGTTTAGTAGGCTTCCCATTGTTGCACTGTAGAATAAATTAATAACTTTTTTGTTTACGCCGATGTTGTTCAAGTGTTTAAGATAGAATAGTTTTCGGCTGAACTTTTGATACAGAATTTGGCCGTGTTTATGCCTTGTGGGCTTATTGTTGATGGTGACACCAATGTACTTATACTTATATGTCTCTACTTGCTCTATAAATGTGGTGATATCTGCAATTGGGTGATTTCCCCGGAAATCGACAACCATTACTTTCATTTTTGAGACATTCAATTGAAG